CCCTACCCCAGCCTACCTGGCACTGCCTCCCACAGACCCTCAGCGTGGCAGTAATGCTAGACAGAATAAATGGCAGAAGCCTTGGGGTGGGGTGGGGGTGGGGGGGGCTTCATGGATGAATTCTTCTTCATGAAAAATGAGAATGTAATAGCTGCAAGGACAAAATTATAAAATGGGCAATGACAAGGAAAATTATGACTTACCTTAGCAAACAAGGCAGAAAGTAATATGATTAACCAAGAAGCTGTGGGTTTGGCAGCCACAACAGAGCGAGCAAGTACTGCCAAGTAAAATCTCTGTGCATCTCTGTGCTGCCTGAAAATAAAGTATTGTACTTGATTCTTGGAACTGAAACCAGAGTAAACAGGTTTGTAGTCAGTCAGCACTTGGCATTTGCCTTGGTACTGGTGTTATTAGCTAGGCTCCATCCAGATGTATGGACAGTTAACCCAATTTAAAAAAAAAATTGTAAAAGATAATGCTAATTAAATATTAGTAGTTTGTTTATTGAGATAAGCATCTGGCACACATTTTCAAGTCAGGTGCAATTGAAACATTGCAGAAGAAGAGGGTGCAACAAGATGGCATAATTAAAAGAGCAACAACCAAATCCCAAATAGTGAAAAGCAATACAGAAAACATGATGGAAATGTGACATTTATGGCTGTTTTATGTATTACTTTGAGGAACGTCACAGTCTCCTTGTCACTTCAAGCAAATCTGATGTTTTCATTGCTATTAATTGTTTCCTCGGTGGAGCAGAAACTTCAGTAGAGGTTTAAGCCACTTGTGTGTCATGATCCATCCGTCCATCCATTATCTATACTGCTTATCTTGAAGAGGGTCCTGGGGCGGGGGCTGGAACCAATCCCAGCTGACACTGGTTGAGAAGTGGGGTACTGTGCACCCACCCTGGACAGGTCGCTGGTCCATCACAGGGCTGACACTTAGAAACAGCCAACCTCAGCCTGGCTGAGCTGATGGATTTGTACTGTGCAGATTTGTACTGAAGTCATGAATAGTCTCAGTAGTGAACACATACAGTACGTAAGTCTCACAGCACTCGAGTGAGTTTGTAATTCTGTTTAAGGTTGTAATGCTTTCATTTACATGGCTGGCATTCAGTTTGGTAACACTGATGTAAAATCCAAGTAGTCGCGAGAAGGGAAGGGTTTTTGTCAGGTTAGACATGAGTGTGTGATCAGACGGCTATTTACATATCAAACTCATAGAACTATGAGCAGTAAGGAATTGCTCACAGACTAGTGCTGGCCAGCACTACAGCACTAGTCTGTGGTGAGCAGTAAGGAATTGCTTGCTCATTACTGGCCAGCACTACAGCACTAGTCTGTGTCACTACAGTGTGTCACATGAGTGCGCCTTCAACACAACCCTATTATATCTTAGTACAGTTCCAGGTTCAACCATTAGTGACTTTATAAATGTATCACACAAAAGTGCAGTAGATGATTGAACATAAATCAATTATTGTTAACTAGAAAATGATGCTAAAGATTAATAAATGACCATTGCTACTTATTTCACATTTTCAATGCTGTTTTAATGTTTTAATAGCTGTGTGTCAGTTAATAACACTGTAATTAAATTTCAGGGCATCTCTGTTTGCCATGGACGCATTAAATTCCCATGAGACTTTGCTGCTATGTCGGGCTCAGACTGCCATGCCACAAAACTCCATTAGAACAGAATTTCTGTCACCAGTGTGTTTTCAGTTGTTATAAATGGACAAAAATAAGTGAATATTGCAGGTATAAATGTGTTAGCTCGGTGACAGCAGCTCTACTCCCCTAGTTGGCGAGTTAAGTCATCTATGTCATATGATGTCATTTGTTACCGAAAAAGGCTTGAAATGTCAAAGCCAGTGATGTTAGAGATGGAAACATAGAGCCATCTGAATGTCAATGAGGGATGGTTGCTGCAGTGTTGCATCAAATTGATATGCACTGAATGAGACTGAATACATTTCTTTCTAGGTGTACAGGGCTGTTTAGGAACTGGAGTCATTCACCAAAAAAGCATGACTATTAAGAACTTATTTTTTAAGTTTCAGTTTTAATACAGTTTTGATTCTATATTTGAACCTTCTACACACCATACAGACTGACTAACCTGTCACCGAAAGCCTTTAATGTCACCAAACGCCACTACCTGAATATATTTTTTGAAATATTTCCCCAGCTGCATTGTCTGTTTTAGATGGATGACTCCTTAGAATAATGGGTCAGTGTTGTAGAAGTCTAAGGTGTCACTCAAAGTCTGATGCAATTGGGTGTAAATACAGTGAAAATGTAATGGAAAGCTCACTAAAAACAATTTTCTTCTAAAGTTTTTATGGCTCTGAGTAAGTAAGTTACTTTAAATAACTGCCAGGCTTCATTACTTTATCCTGCTCGCCTGTGAATGCCTTAAATTTAACCTGGGATTTAGCTTTTTTTTTTCTATTGTTTGCTAAATATTTAACATCAGATTTTAGTAGGAGGCTCTCAGGCATATTTACTGTCTGTTTTTTTTTTTTTTTTCTGTCTTTTTTTTTTTTTTTTTTTTACTTTAATGGTTAAAATAGACCAATCACAGACATAGAACATTTCAAAATCCATTGTATCTAGACATATTTTACAAATGGGATCTCTAAGAACCCAAACAAAAGTAATACATTTCTTTATAAACCTTCTGAAACATGTCATACCATCAAGTATTTGTCATTAAAAAACATACGGTACAGTATAGTATAGTACAGTAAACAGGATAATTATTGTTCCAAGAAATGCCATAAAAACACTCAAATGCATGTAGAAACCACACACAGAAAAAAGTTAGAAAGTCAAAAGAAATCCTGACATTACAGTTGAATAATAACTGAATTTAATGTGAAGAATTACAGTATGTCATGTTTATTCAGAAAGGTGAAGCTGTTTGAATGTCATTAATTAGAAAGGCCATATACTGTAAATGTCACAGGTGGAAGCTGTTTGTCACCCACAGTGTGAGCTCGAAGCAGACCAAAGTCTACTGCTTATTGCTGTACATATTGTGACATTTGTTTTTTAAAAATCAAAGAATATTGTCTCTACATTGTGAATGTACAAGTGTTATTTTCCATGGTCTGGGCTGTTGTAGCCCCAGGGTGACTCTCTCCCTACCTTTCAGATTGCCCCAAAAAAGCCCCCCATGAACCCTGATGAAACTAAAGAGATAAGTACAGTATATTTCCTTTTGTTATGCATAGTATGATCTCTAGTGTTGGCTGGAGATGCCTCCCTGAGATGCTAACAAAATAGTGGTCAAGTTAGGATTTAAAATGTACAATTTGTTTGGCATAATACAGTATGTGAGTCTGGTTGGCTGTACAGTGTCAAAGCAGTGAACAGAGACAAAGAGGCTGGTTCTGAGTGCCCTGTGCAGCAAACATTGTACTATAATACATAGAAACAGGCAAGACAACCATTATCCAAGTCACGCTTTGCATTCAGAGTCCCTTCGCTCCAGATATAGAAACATGGAGAAAAATCTTACAAGTTTTCTTACTGGATAGTTAACACTTATAGATGTAATGATTTCATAATGATTCAAATGATATCATGGAATGCAAAATAGTAGCAGAAGTTTAAGACATTTGCTCTCTTTGCCTTCTACAGCATTGGAAGATATGGATAAGTGACCTGTGTTGCATTATAGCAAAGTGTTCATGGTACTGTGTCAAACGGCTGCATGCTGCACACCCAACAGGACAAAATAAAGACGTGGAATTTACAGATCATAAAACCTGCCAAAAGACTTCTGAAAAGATTCTGTAGGAAAGTCAAAAGTAGTTCACTCTGGACAAGACATTTGTATGCCCTGGAAATGGTAAATGCTCCAAAGCCAAAGATATCTTTGTGCAAGTGCCACTGTTTAGTGATAATTGTATCCAAAAACAAAGAGCTTACAACATAATGATGAATGTGGATGCTCTTTTCCACTGAGCAAGGAAAGCGCAGGCTGACCCACTTTAGACTCGTGTGTGAAGGTGATGTATGGAGGATGTTGAGGAGGAAAGAATGTGGTACTGTGAGAAGATGTAAAACAGAAGAAAACTGTCAGAATTTCCCTCTTACACTTAATTGCTCAAGTTTATTTCTAGTAGAAAATTATCATGCTTGGCACATAATCTTGTGTCTTAATCAACAGCAACTCAGTAAACAGACTCTTATGCTCCTGCCTGGGATTACAGCACATCTAGATATGGCAGATGTGCTTAAATGGTGGTAATAAAACACTAAAAATATAATGACTTGGAGCAATGAATTATTGACTGAATACTGAGCCCTGTGGGTCAAAAAAAAAAAAAAAAACAGACTCAATATTAGGCATTTTAAAACTCTCTAAGAATCGCGGTTAAAGCGGTATGCTGCTGAATACACTTTCTCCAGTCTGGCGTGTTCTTAATTTTTCCATTCAGAAAAAAAAGCTCCTCCATATTTGAG